CAGTATCACTGTGTATCACTCACAAATACTTACAAATACTATATTTGTATATAGTATTATTTTCAATATTATTGTAGTTTAGTTATTAAATTGTTCTTGTCTTGACCCATGAGTCCTTTTTTCCCTTTACCCCTTTAATTCTCTCCCCTATCCTCTGGTGGCAGGGATTGGGTGAGTGAGTGTGTGTGAGTTGGCCCCCAGACTAGGGCAAACCCATCACAGTGCCTGTGCTTGTGCTTGCAAGCAGTGTTAGCTAATAAAGAACACAGATGCTCTTCCCCTCCTCACAACCTCGCTTTAACAAGGTACTTGAAGAACTACTAGGATTAGTTGTTACACTCAAAAGGTAAATGCATAACATACACACATCCAGGCTCTGAGCTACTGTCAGAAACATTTTACATTCAGAGGACTCTGGGCAGGTTCTACGTCTCATGCAAAGAGTGTAAAGTTGCATCAAAGGAGCAATATTTTATACCTACCTTCTTGAAATAAATACAGAAACCCAAGGCAAGAGCAGAAAAGTCAGCCCCACTTACTGCCTATTCCCAATGGACCTGAATAATGGAAACTGAAACAATCCTTCTTTCACCAAAATTATTTCCAAAAATTGAAGTGAGAAGTGATTGAGTAGGTTTAAAATTAATTTTTTCTAAATAAAAATACTAAAAAAAAAAATCTCCTGGGGGAAAACTTCTACACCCAGTTTTACATGGGGAGAAACCCTAACATTATAAAATCACTCAAAAAGAGGGTTATGTTCTGTAAATGGCAAGTCCCTCACTCTTAACTGCAGTATCACAAATGCGATGCTATAATAACAGGAGATAGAAGGGTTTGAACAGTGCTTGGATTGCAAAGTAATAATAATGATATAGTACTTTCCAAAATTGCCTGAATAGTGTGAAATATACCACAACCTACAGGGTGAGTTATAAAAGTGGCTGCTTTACACTGGGTGTTACCAACCTCTTTTGTCACTGCCAGAGAATAACTATAGCTCCCTTTGGGATGAAAGGTTCTATAGAAAGGAAAGGTATCATTACAATCATTACTATTATTATTGAAATGCAAAACCTGGGAGTAATAAGCAAGTATACATGAAATTTCACAGTCATCCCTTGAATGTATCCTATTAATGCAACTCAAATGCAGCATTTCTCTCCCCTACCACACACCAATTGCCACAAGAATGGGGAAATGACCCTCCCACAGGTGTCCTATAGAAGCTGCATGCTTTTCTAAAGAACAGGGTTTGTGTTCGAATGTACAATGCATAATAAACCTCAAAATGCAAAATCCTGGAAGATGGGAAGAGGACAAGTGGTCATTCTCTGCAAGCCACTTGGGACGCCCAGCACTCTGAATTTCACACTGATGCTGGAGTCTGTGTCTGCTCTGAGGAATCACTAGTGACATCAAAATGCAGCATCAGAAAAATCTTCTTCAAGTCGATATTCTCCACACAAAGTAATCATTTATGAGGGCTCTTCAGACTTTAATCAGACAAATTTCCAGCCAAGTTCTCCTATCAAATCCTTTTGAACTCAACCAGTATTTTGTGGGCGCCTCCAGAAGGGCCAGGACACTCCTCCACCCTGAAAGGTGCAGCCTGTGCCTGTGGGCCACCCCTCTGCCCTGTGGGACACGGGGACCCTCTCAGACTGCCCGCAACTCCAGAGCCCTGCCACAAACCAGAAACAGCTGCCTCCTGTCTATCTATATTTTTCACCAAAATTAACAATTTTTCTGAGGAGCGTTCTTAAAGCATAATACGGGGAGGGGGGGAGGGTAACAAATGGGCAAAAACTTCCCAAAATCAGTGGTTCAACTGAGCTGACAACTGGCTGTGATTTCAAGATAGACTGAAAAGGCAAAATGAAATCATGTAAGCGGAATGGGCAGCTCTTCCCACGCTGGCGATTGCTGGGCTCCCGAGAGGCTCTCCCAAGTGCTTTACAGGGCTCATGCTGCAAAGCACTTGTTTGTGTGTCACCTTCCTCTGCCTTCAGTTTTGTGGGAAGAACTGCAGTTTTTATCAGCGAAGCACAACTGCTTCATAACAACACCAAAACAGTCCATGAGGGATTTGAGAGAGTCTCACTCAAAGTGCTGACAGCGTGCTTGGTTCCTAAAGAAAACATAGTCCCCGGCACCTTAGACTCGAATCCATATTGTACAGGGTTACTTACTTTCATTAAAACTTCAAAGTAACCTTCTGCATTCCCTGGGCTAATCGGAGTATAGGCTCGCTGGACCTCCAAACCATTCACCACTCCTCTGAGGAGAGAAATACAGGAACTCACTGTGACTTGGGTCATTGACTGGCATTGCCAAACTTCTGCAGTTCCTGGGGACACGAGGGAGGCAGCCAGTCCCCTTCCCAGGGGCCCAGCCTGTGCACAGACGTAAAACATTTCCCTTCCAGAGGTTAAACTCCAGGGGGAACATAATGGCTAAATGCACCTTTTGTTTTCCCGGTAGTGGCCCCAGCTGTACCACATATTCAGCTCTTGGACACACCCCTGGAAGGATGTTTGAGCCGTTTTGTGAGAAACAGCCAAATACTTAAGAGTGGCAAAGGAGGAAGAGAAAGTCTTCCATGGTAAGTTTGCTATCGCTTTTGGGCAGGGGTCTGCTCTCCTTTCAGTGTTCAGACAGCATCTGGTAATTAAATAATGAAAGCTAGGGCACAGCCTTGACCTAGGTCTCATCAATATACACTGTATTTTCTTGTAAGTCTTCTCTTTCCACAGAATACATCCACCCTGCTCCTTACTACTGACTACAGTAATTGATTGAAGCGACCGAACCTTTTCCTCTGCTGCATTACGAGGGATGGCTGAAGGGAGAAGCGTGAGCTTTCAGCAGCCAGACAGTGGTATGCATCAGCCGTTAGCGCACAAATAACGTCAACAGATACAGATCAATGGCATCATAACACGACTCTTTCTATCTGGCAATGATCACCACAGATGGCTGAGAGACACATAAACTTTTCCCAAGTGGCTCCTTTCTGGTGAGCAATAAACTACACCGGAGGATTGTTTTGCTAGAAATCAGTCAGGAAATGCCTGGATCCTGGGGGTTACACCCCAGGGGCTGAGTTACCCCAACTTACAGACCTAAACCTCTGAGCTCTGGGGTAAATGCAGCTCCTTGTCTTCATTCCAGCTGGAGTAAATCATCTGTTGTAACATCTATTCTTTGAGTCTTTCTTTTGGCAAATGGATTTTCTTAATCACACCTAGTTCTTTCTGACCCACTGACGCAAGGATAATGCTGAGGAAAAATACAGCTTTGGAATGGCTTTTACCATAAAATTAGTAGAGCTAGCGAGCTCACAAGTTCTTTCATCTGTGTCATTGTGGAGGTATAGAAATTATGATTTTCCTGGTATGAAGCCTTTGTCTATTGACAAAAACCTACGTATTAGGTTACATAATGCAGACTGTTTAACTAGAACAGAGAACAATACCTTAACACGATATGTTGTCCTAAACTCAATCGCAGACTGCTATTTCCCGGTAATTCAAATTTGTACTGGTAGGTGTCCTCTGTTAGCTGCTCCACCGAGCTTATGTTGAATGCAGTAAATGTATCTGGGTTCAGTTCTGAATTATTGCTCTGCAAGAACAACAATAAATAATTACTTGGTTAGATGGTGTCTTTCATTATTTCATTTTTCTTTGGAAGCAAACGTGTGTGCTAATTTAGCGCCAGAGATACTCACGACTCCAGAAGAACGCATATTAAATGCTGGGGCCCAGCACAAATTTCAGCTCTCTGCTGATTCATTATCGTGTTCTGCGGCACGCACTTTGGGATCTCGCATTTTCCCCTCCCCTTTTTAAATTACACTTTTTACACCTTACAGCAAGGTCATCCCATTATGACTCACTGCAATCATTTTCTCACGTCTGCAAACAAACAGAAATAAAGAGCTGAGTGCTGCTTTGGGGGCAACTTTGAAACCCACTGATGACCACTGAGGACAGGAAATACTGTTCGCTGTTTCAACGCTGATCATTTTTGCTTGACCCAGCATAGTTAATCTTATGTAAAAGGGCCCTGATAAGCTTAAAATTACGCTCTGAAGACAACTCCTCCACCACACACAACGCAGCATTTTTCCATCCTCAAATTCTAAGAAACAGGAAGAGATTAAAAAGGTCAGGAAAATGGAGCTTCTCCCAGAAAATTGTCAGCAGAGAAAACTGTCATTCTTTGTACCTTTCACCCATTCCCACTTTCCAGAGAGACCGGCTCTGGCTGCAGGGGGACCCCAGCAAGGAGAAGCTGCAGACCCAGGGCTGTAATGTGACACCGGTGCAAACTCGACTCTTGGAAAATCACATTACAGCAGGGAGAGAGCGGGCAAGGGGGAGGGTGGCTGCGAAGGCAGAGTTTGGGGAATTGCATTTACAACCTTCTCTTAAGGCACCGCTTTAATCTATTGCTGTGTCCCTCACCCATCACCACAACCCCACACGCTAACAAGTACGATCAAAGTGCTGGCTCTAGGATGTGATTAAGATAAATTGACCTGCTCCTTCTTTTCCATGAGGAGGCTTTTGTCTTGCTTCGCTTTGGCCCTTTCCCATTGCGCGAGCTCCTTCTCATACACATCGTAGATGCAGGGTTTGCAGCCGCTGCCGCAGCACTGGGATGGAGAAGGTTCCTGGGGTTTGAGAGCCAGCCACTCATCCTCATTTCCACTCATTGTCTGCAAAACACAAGCCCTGCATCAAAAACAGCATGATGAAGAGCTCCACGTGCTAACCAGCTGAGCATTATTTGGAGGACTGAGAAATCTCTCTCGAGCATCTTGTATGTGTATCTCAGGGGGCTCTGAAAACCTGCGAGCTGATCCGGTGCCTGCAACGCTCTATTTTCGTCCAAGTGCTCACTGCCTCTGCATTGTCCGGTGCGGGAATGCCAGACAGCGCAGCCACGGGCCCAGGGCTGCACAGCAGACCCCAGCCCAGCCTCAGGCTCTGCTTCCCAGCCTGGCTGCCTACTCAAAGCTCCCTCCAGCACCTGCAGGCACGCACTTACTCTTGCTCATTCTGCTGTGGTGATTTCCAAAGAAAGAGCAGCCTGGTCACCCAGAGCACAAACATCTTAAAAATCTGCAGCTCGGTTAATGAGAACAGATAACCTCAACTGCCAAGATGTGGCACTGCTTTAAAATGGGGGAAAGGCAGCAAGCTAACAGTGGGTTTTAAAACCACAAGACTAGAGAAAACATGGTAAACTCACAGGAAAATTAATGAGCACTTTGGTTATGAGCAGATTTGAGTCTGGCTTTAAATGCAAACATGTAGGAAAGAGCAAAAAGCACATACAGCATGATTTTTATTCCTTACCGCTACCTTTGGTTCAGACGGAGCTGTACCTAGTGAACGCTCCTCAAACCCAAACCAAGATGCCGACCTCTCAGGGACTCTGCTATTTTTACCCACCGCTTGGCTTACCACTGTTCCTCAAGCCCTGGTGTCTGTATTTCCAACAAAAGGAGGTGCAGAGGAAATTACAAAGCCACGGGTGAGGAGACTGAGGAAGAGAACACTTAGCACCTAGAGCAGCTTCATTTTCAAGGTGAACTAATTAACTCACCTTCATCCCTGCAACACAAACACGCTTATTCTAAGGTTGGCGGGGGAAAGATGAGTGAACCAAAGGCAAACAAACATGTCTGGCTTTCCACCGGCCCTGTGCCCCCAG